ATGGAATGAAGAAATTCAAATAAAGTTAATGAGAAGTTGAAAAAAATTATGGAAGAAACAAAGTAAAATGAAAACTAAAATAGCAGAATAATAAAATAACAAAGAAACAACAGTAAAAAGAAAGATAAGGTCATAAAAAGTTGAAAAAAAGGATTGGGAGGAAGAAAGAAAGAAAGAAAGAGAGAGAGAGAGAGAGAGAGAGAGAGAGAGAGAGAGAGAGACAAAAAGTGATAAACGTACAGATAGAAAAATATAAGCGGAGAAAGACAAAATCAGTGATAGAGGAGGAAAAAAGGAGGAAAAAATAAGAAAAAAGTTAAAAAAAAGAGATAAAGAGGAAGAAAATGGTAACCAAAAGTAAGAAAGAGAGGAGAGAAAGATAAAGAGAAAGATAAAGAGAAAGATAAAGAGAAAGAGAGAGAAAGAGAATGAAAGAGAGAGAGGAGAAGTTTAAAAAACAAGTGAAAGTTTAATTAAGTAAATGGAAATTTGTAGCACAGTAAAGTAAGTTTATTTTACTAACGAAAGTTCACCAGCCTTCTCATTCTTCAACTTAATCATTTCGCTTTTTTATTTCACAATAATAATAATAATAATAATAATAATAATAACAACAATTTTTAAAATATTAGCCTGAGAAACAACATGCCACAACAATAATAATATTCATGATTATAAATAACAACACTATTACTGTTATTACTACTATTATTATTATTATCCTTATTGAACAAAAAGTGCATGTGTGTGCGTATGTGCGTGTGTGCGTGTGTGTGCGTGCGTGTGTGTGTGTGTGTGTGTGTGTAAAGTACCAAGACATGTGCTGTGTTTAGCATATAACAATTAATTTCACTTTCTTCAGGGTTCATTATTTAAGTACTTGTGTGTGTGTGCGTGCGTGCGTGTGTGTGTGTGTGTGTGTGTGTGTTCATAAAGACTTATGTATACATGTGTACACATCTGTGTCTGTGTTCCTTTTTGTCAGTCTGTGTTAGCCATAATAAAAAAAAATATTGTTTCGCTATTCTACAAATCAAACTCCGACAAACTAAGAGTTTGATCAAGTCAGACTAATATCTAAATGAATAAATGAATACATAAAAAATATGCATATGTGTGCATATGTATGTGTGTGTGATTGTGTTTATGTATGTGTATATATGTGTGTAGGAATGTATGTATGTATATGTGTATGTTTGTGTTTGAAAGTGTGTATATGTATGTGTGTATGTATACATGCGTATGAATGTATGTATGCATGTATGTATGCATGCATGTATGTATGCATGCATGTATGTAACTGTTCGTAGTTTCAGTATGAAAGAACCAGCTAAAATAAAACAAATTGATCGAAAATTAATTTTAAAAAAAGAAATAAATTAAAAAAAACTATTGCCCAAGGACAAAGCCTACCAGCAAAAATTTCAATTTTTGAAAGTTAAGTAACCAGAAAACTGTTTTCAAATGAAACAAAGAATAAAAAGTAGATAAAGGAAAGCCAATGACATGCAGATGTGTGTATGATGCATGTTTGAAATGAAAAAAATATAGATGGGAAGGCATAGATAACAGTGCAACTGGGGGAAATTTCCATAGATCACATAGGCACGAAACTGAAAACGCACTTCTTACTACTACTACTACCACTACTACTACTACTACTACTACCACTACTACTACTACTACTAATACTACTACTAATACTGCTACTACTACTACTACTGCTACTACTACTATCACTACTACTGCTGCTACTACTACTTCTACTACTACTACTACTAATACTGCTACTACTACTACTACTGCTACTACTACTATCACTACTACTGCTGCTACTACTACTTCTACTACCGCGGGCTTTATACTAACCACTAATACTATTAGTACAACCATTTTTTGCAGCTACTTCTACTACCATCACTACTACTACTACTACTAATTTCACAACTATTACCATTACTGCTGTTAGATTATATATTAGTAATATTATTTTGCACTGAAAGTGTTCAAAGTTTTTGTGTGTGTGTTGTTTTTCTATGATATGTGCATGTTTGTTGCTATGTGTGTGTATGTCTGTGTGTGTATGTGAGTGTGTAAACTGTTTGTCTGGGCTAGTAGTGCGTGTATGTATGTTAGTGTGTCTGTGTTTGTGTGTTTGTGCGTGCGTGTGCGAGTGAGCATTTGCAACTGTGTATGCGTGTAAGTAGTTATAAATATGTGTGTGTGTGCGTGCGCGTGCGTGTGTGTGTGCGCGTGTGAGAGGGAGATCTGTGAACAAGAGGGAGTGAAAGAAATTTACAAAGGATGGTGTGGTAATAGTAAGATGATAAACAGATGGTGAAAAGGACCACGATAATGACGACGACGGTGATGGTGCTAGTAGTAGTAGTAGTAGTAGTAGTAGTGTAGAAATTATGTTTACATGATGTTTTTAATAAAGGTTAAAGGTTTCTCTCTTTTTTTTGCGTTTGCTTCAGAGGTTTCAACGACAAACACACACAGCGTATATGAATACGCGTGCAAACCACGCATCATACACATTGCATATGATAGGCGGGGATCTCTTTGTATTCGAACCCAGTCATAGGAATAGCAAGACCAGGCGCCTTTAACCATTGAGCCATCACGCCGCCATCAATAGTCATGATGACACAGTTCAGTTAAACTCAACTACGAATAAAATGACTGAATGCGAGATCACGATGATTAATAATAATAATAATAATAATAATAATAATAATAATAATCAGATGATGAAAAACTTGTTTAGCAAAACTTCTTTAACTTCATAAAAATCACAGAATCGAAGCTACATAATAAGCGCCAAAAACATCAACGAAACCAACAACAACAACAACAACAACAACAATAATAATAATAATAATATATCCACATAGAGCAATTACTAGAAACTAAAAAAGCTTAATTATATCCCAGCGAAATATAAACAATTTTTTTTCTTCTTCTAGCGGATGATGGCAATGGAAATCGTATAATTATGCCTAGCAATATGAAACGAGCGCTATACAAATTTTAAAATTGAGCGCTTTAAAAAATATGCACTATAATAATAATAATAATAATAATAATAATAATAATAATGATTAGATTTATAATAGAGGTAATTATTTTAACGATGGTTTATATTAAAAATATTATTATTATTATTACTTTTATTATTGCTATTATTATTAAATGAAGAAATAATTCTAAAGAAAATGTGTCCATGTGAACAATTTTCTTAGTTGTGGTTGCGTTCTACTTTTCAAAAAACTGTTTCACTTCATTCATTTGTTGTTATCATTTCGTTTTCTTCTTTCGTTCATTCACCATTTTTACTTCATCCCTCATAATTTTATCCTTCCTCCAATCACCCAACACGTTGACTCCGAGTCGTCCAACCAATCAGAATTCACTGATTAATTTACTTGCAGAAGCGGTCAGATGTTGACAGAAATGTTGGTGTAAACGATCATTGACTCGTTCATACACAGGTTCATTCACTTGTTCGTACACGGGTTCATTCACTTGTTCACTCACTCGTTCATCCATCTGTTCATATATGAATGTTCACTTTTAGTTTACTCAATCGATAAATTAATGATGTTCATCACTTCATCGCTTATTCATCCACTTGTTCATCCAATGGTTCACTCTTCGTTCACTCGCCACGCATTGGTTCGTTCACCGAATTAATGATGTTCTTCACCTTACTCAATAAATTGGTCGCCCACGACCTGTTTATTTACATTAGAAAGATTTCTGTTTATATTAAGAGATACAAGAGCGGGATTTATTGAGCACTGGCGTCTTAGTTTTGAAGGTTTTCGTTACTTTTTTTGGTTTCTTAACAAATTAAGTAAGTAATTAGTTGGTTGGTTGGTTTGTTGGCTGATTGATTGGTGGTCGGTCAGTTGGTTGGTTGGTTGGCTGGTTGATTGGTGGTCGGTCAGTTGGTTGGTTTGTTGGTTGGCTGGTTGATTGGTGGTCGGTCGGTCGGTTGGTTTGTTGGTTGGCTGGCTGATTGGTGGTCGGTAGGTTGGTTAGGGTTAAGGTTTACTGGTTGACTGGTGGTCGGTCGGTCGGTTGGTTTGTTGGCTGGTTGGTTGGTTAGTTAATCAGTTGATGGCTAGACTAGACATGTTAATTTATTAATATGCGGGTACACGTACGTGCAAATTTTTTTTTATAACCATTTCCATGTCGCCATCATCGGTTGTCATTTTTTTCTTATTTGTTTTTAATTACAGCATTCGTATTTCAGCAATTCGTTTCGTTAATACGGAGTCAAAAAATGGTTTAATGAATAAACAATCAGATAGGTAGACGAAAAATGAATGAATGAATGAATGAATGAATGAATTAATGAATGAATGAAGAAAGGAACGAAGGAAGATGCAAGTGAACGTCTAAATTTCTATGCATTCCCCTCATCAAAGACAGACACGCGTGCATTTAATTAATTTTATTAGTTCAGATGTAGTCGAGGTGTATGTACGAAACGCTACTTAAGTACTCTGCATGTCTGGGTTTGTGTGTGTGTATGTGTTTGTGTGTGTATGTGTGTGTGGGTGTTTAATCAGCCAGGGTACAAAACAACGTTTCTAAGATCTCGAGTGAATTATTTTCTAATTACATACATGAAGAGAAAGGCTTACAAAAAGTTCATCTTGCAAAGAAAATACAGAACTTGATTCTATAATGTTCTTTGTATAAATATTCTATTTCACGGAATTCTTCATACAAATTTAATAAAAAATTGAAGAGAATTTTGTTGAAATATTATAATTAGAACGACATCAGTAGCAAACACTAACCAAACACTTAAAAAAACTTTTTCCAATGCAATTGCATACTTTGTAAACAAATTTTCATCACATGAAATGATCTAAAGAAAACAGATTTAAATGAAAACTAAGATGAAAAAAAACAAGATGCTGATACACAAAAACAAAAAAAAATAACCTTGAAAAAAAAGAAAAAAAGAAAAAAACACAAAC